AAAATTTACATCTTGATGAGCTGAACAAGCAAGTTTCAACAACGTTTATAGCATAGGCAGTTGTAATGAAGAAGATGGATATAAAAGCTCGAAGTTTATGTCAGTAATTGACCATTGACGATGTTCTCGTCCGTAATAAAGAATTCATTGCAGCAGAAAGAGTGAATATGGAGTATCAAAAGAGCGAGCGGGAGAATCTCATTGAGGAGATATCTTAAAAGTCATTGAATACATAAACTTTGGATTGTTTTTAGCGGGTAATAAGGTAATACTGATATCGGTATATCAAGATAAATAGTGGCCACATACCGGTTTTCAGCTAGCATAATCCCCTCCGAAGTGTCTGGTCATGGAACGCAACGGCAAGTGTATCGGAATATGCGGAGCTACAGGTGCTGTCGGCATCGAGATCATTTCGGTGTTGGCCGCACTAAAATTTCCGGTAAAGCAATTGGTACTGTTTGCCTCGTCGCGCTCGGCTGGTAAAAAGGTTGATACGCCCTTTGGCAGCATCACCATGTCGCTCTTTTCTGTGGAAAAGGCAGCAAAGCTCGATTACGTTTTTATGGCCGTATCAGGAGAATTTTCACTACAACACGCAAAAGAGCTGGCTGCAATACCGAATGGTCCTGTCGTGATTGATAATTCGTCGGCTTTTCGTTGTGATCCGGATATTCCACTTGTCATTCCAGAGATTAATGGTCACGTCCTTCTTCAAAAGCGTGGCCAGCTGCAACACAAGCTCATTGCTAATCCAAATTGTACAACAGCTATTGCTGCTATGGCGCTTTGGCCTTTACACTGCGAGTTTGGAATTAAACGACTTATTGTGTCTACGTACCAGGCAGCAAGTGGTGCTGGAAATGCTGGAATGGAGGAGTTGGCTGATGGAACCAAAGCTTATTTAGCTGATGAACCTGTTATTTACAAGGTCTTTTCGTATCCTCTTCCATTCAATCTCATTCCACATATTGACAAATTCCAGGAGAATGGATATACTAAAGAAGAGATGAAGGTGACATGGGAAACGCGCAAGATCTTTAACGAACCTAAATTAGCTGTGAGTTGTACGGCGGCGCGTATTCCAATCATGCGTGCACACTCAGAAGCGCTTACAATTGAGACAGTGAAGCGTGTGAACATCTCTCGTGCTCGTGAGCTTTTGGCCAAAGCAGATGGTGTAGATCTTGTTGATGAACCCGAGAATTTGCGCTATCCTATGCCAAAAACTGCTACCAAGAAGTTTAATATTGAAGCTGGTCGACTTCGCAAAAGTTTAGTCTTTGGCGACCATGGTCTCGAGCTCTTTGTGTCAGGCGATCAGCTTCTGCGTGGTGCAGCGCTCAACGCCGTATTAATTGCCGAATTTCTCGAGAATCCACGTCTGACTCCACAATTCGTCAAGAATTCGACCATGTTGACGTTGTCAAAGGACCAGAAACAGATTTTACTCGGGCTTGTAGCGGGTATCGCTGTAACTATGGGGTCATTGCTTGCCTATGGCCTCAAGAAAAATTAAACAAGAAGAAACTGAATCCATTTTGCTTCTGTTACTCATCCTTTTCATCATTATTATTAGTATGTAGTAGTAAAGCTGAGCTGTTGGGATTGCACGATGCACCTGCAATTTTTAGATCATCGCTTTCGAGGCAATCCTTAATATGAAAAGAAAAAACCTGCTTGCAGCGAAGATGCTTTCCAGTTGGACCGAAGTTTGATAGTTTTGTTGATTTGTTACGCTCATCTCGTGTATCTTCACTCGATATAAGATTCTGATGACGTGAACTTGACTTCATACGCTTCCTAAAGCATAGATGATTAGACCAAATGCTATCAAGTTATCATCTTGATCGTACCTATACTTGTGTGCAAGGTGCGACTGCATCATACGTCGCTGGTTGGGATCAATACTTTTCTTATCCAGCAATGCTACACAATACGACACAATATATAATTATTTCCGAGTTTCCACACAATTATTCGCATAAATCAACACACTCAAACGTGATGAGGAGAACGTAATAAGTTTTTCACGATATTTGGCCATCAAAGTGACCTCATTGCCTCGTAAATCGAGCTCCACAAGCGATGTAATACCTTGAACCAATCCAAAGACTTCTTCTAGACCGTAAATGAGATTCTTGGACACGTCAAGTTGCTCCAAACAGCGAAATTTTATTATTGGTGCCAATGAAACCACACGACAATTTGAAAGGTCTAATACTCGCAGGGAGCACTACAATAAAATCCCAAAAAATATAGAAGCGTCAATAAGAGCAAAAGGCATGTCAATCAGTTACTAAAACAAGTTTACCGCCAAAGTCTGCATCGTATCCTCCTCAAACGAAAAGTGCTTGTCAAGCGGAACATCTTGATTTGCCAAAGACAATTCTTTTAATTGAAAGCAGTTCCGCAAACCTTCTAATTTCACAATATTATTGTTGTCAAGATACAACTTCTCCAATAGCGCCAGCGATTCAAGATTTTCAATTTTTTGTACTTTATTGTTTTGTAGATAAAGATGAGTAAGCTGTGGCACCACATCAAGGTTTTCGATGGTCTCAATAGTATTGTCGTACAGATACAACACCTTGAGATTAGGACAATGGTGCAAATTTTGAATCTTGCAAATGGGTCCAGCCGCATTTTGTTCTTTTTTTAAGCTAATGTTGACGTTTCCATTCAATGTTAAGTGTGTGATCCGCTTCAAATAATGCGAGAGATGTTCATGCTTGCCGACACTAAGTTTTGTCGCATGAAGTAACACTTCAATGCAGATTTCCCGGCAATTGTATCGTTGCTGTTGTGTCTCACTCTCCTGCTGCTGAGTATCAGCGCTCAGACATAGCATGTTTACCTTCAACTTCTAAGTTTAAAATGGGTAAATAGCGCATCTATAAAAAGACGTATGCTATAATAATAATTTCTTACTCTAATGTCAAGAATATACTAAAATCTAGACCACATCACATTTCACCCATTTTCCTGATCAAACTTTATTCGTCATATCTACAAAGTAATTTAATAAAATGCCGGGAGAGTAGCCAAGTGGACTTGATTCGGAGATTAGTCCTTTGAGCATATTCTTGACCAATACAAATGACATCTCCAAATGTTTTTAACAAATTAAAACTCGCCACTATACCACTTATAAATTCAATGGTGTAGAGGCTACTGCGACCCCCCATTCAGTATTGTGAACAAGAAGTCCTAAGCAGAAAGAAGGAGCGACTATTATGGCGGAAAAAGGTGCGTCTTTAAACCAATTAGCATGTTACGACTCAAGCATTATCCTCTCAATGCTTAATACTCATCGCTTAGCCCATAACATGTTCAAAGATCATTTTGAATTTTAGACTGACGTGGCCTGTATCTTTATCATGTCACTCTATAGGAAGATCTACATACGTACCGCCTCATATGCGTGGCGGTGGCGGTGGATACCGCAACAGAAATGAAGATGATCGTCGCGGTGGAAATGATGATCGTCGTGGTGGAAACAGCGGCTACGACCGACGCAGTGGTTCTCGCGAAGGCTACGGCACTCGTAGTGGCTCAAATGAGCGTGGAGACGGACCACCACGTGCTACAAACTCTCGCTGGTCTGGATTTGAAGTTGATCGTCGTGGCGGTTACAATGATGACCGTCGTAGTGGCTACGGAGGTGGTTACGGTCGCGGAGGGGGTGCTGGTATTGCTCGTGTTAATGAATTAGGTTATCACGGTGATGTGCGTCGCAACGAGCGATTAGAGCACGAATTATTTGGCGATGCAAAATCGTCGGGTATTAATTTTGACAAGTACGACGACATTCCTGTTGAAACAAGTGGTGAAAACGTGCCGGACCCAGTGAATGATTTCTCGGAAGAACAACTTGGTCCGGAAGTTATTCGGAATCTTGAATTGTGTAAATACGCGAAACCTACACCAGTACAAAAGTATTCGATTCCAATTGGATTAGCGGGTCGTGATATGATGGCATGTGCTCAAACGGGCTCAGGTAAAACCGGTGGTTTCTTATTTCCAACTCTTGCTGCAATGTTACGTGTAGGTGGCACTCCACCACCTGATGTTGGGCACGGGCGAACACGTAAGATTTTTCCTGCTGGATTAATTCTCTCACCTACGCGGGAGTTGGCATCTCAAATTCATGATGAAGCAAAAAAGTTTTGCTATTGTACGGGTATTGCACCTGTTGTAATTTATGGTGGTGCAGAAGTTGGTCGTCAATTACGGGAATTGGAGCGTGGTTGCGATCTTTTAGTTGCTACTCCTGGCCGTCTTGTTGATTTGATGGAACGTGGACGTATATCACTCTCTTGTATCCGTTTTTTGATTTTAGACGAAGCTGATCGTATGCTTGATATGGGATTTGAGCCTCAGATTCGTCGTATTGTTGAACAAGAAGATATGCCTAGAGAACGTCAAACTTTTATGTTTAGTGCAACGTTCCCACGCGAGATTCAACGTCTTGCATCGGATTTCTTACGTGACTATATTTTCCTTACAGTTGGTCGTGTAGGCTCGGCGTCAAAGGATGTAAAACAAACGGTTGAGTATATTGAACAGTATGATAAGGAGGACTATTTGGTTCGTTTTTTAAACCAAGTTCAAGATGGTCTTATCTTAGTCTTTGTCGAAACAAAACGTGGTGCTGATTTCTTGGAAGACATGTTGTGTCGGGAAGGATTTCCGGCTACTTCCATTCATGGAGATCGTTCACAACGTGAGCGTGAACAGGCTCTTGCGAGCTTTAAATCGGGTCGTACACCTGTACTTGTAGCGACGGATGTAGCGGCCCGTGGTCTTGATATTGATGGAGTGACTCAAGTTATTAACTTTGACTTACCGAATAATATCGATGATTATGTTCATCGTATTGGACGTACTGGTCGTGTAGGAAATGTTGGATATGCACTATCAATGATGAATGAAAAAAACCGAAATATTGCCCGTGAAATGTATGAATTGATGGCTGAGAATGGCCAGGAGATCCCAGCATTTCTTGACCAGATGGCTAATAGTGGCTATCGTGGTGGTGGTAGCCGCAGCGGCCGTGGCGGACGTGGTGGACGCGGTGGTTCTCGCTTTGGTGCTAGAGATTTCCGTAATGAAGAACGTGGTGGTGGTGGAAGTCGTAACGGCGGTGGCTATGGTGGTAGTGGGTATGGCGGTGGTTACAGTGGTGGTTACGGTGGTGGTGGTGGCGGTGGCTATGGTGGTGGCGGTCGTAGTGGTGGCTCCCGTGGTGGAGAGGATAATAGCGCTTGGTAGTTAGTTACCGGGCAGCACAAAGATGGCAAGCAGTTGTCCGCAAGTAGGAGACATGGAGCAATGAGCAAGCGGTGTTGTGGCGTCGACCAAGTGTTGTGGTGTGTAGAATGTCAGAACTCGTGGAGTTTCTCTATATTTCGTAGCGCGGAGAGTCGGAAGAAAGCTTCCTTCGATGTACAAGTAACGTTAGGTGCCCTCACGAGCCTTGCCCGCCGTTGCCCCTTGTCTGTGGGCGCTGCGAGCCGGGAGATTAGGATACTTGATGACCATTTTGCTAGCGTGTATTATAAGGCAGCGTTCTTCTTAGAAAATATACCATCTTATCAGTTTAAAGATGACTAGATTAGAGATCCGAAAGTCATAGTCTATTCCGGTCTTGATTTAAAGTTGAGATGCCTAAGATATCACGAAGTATTGTCAATCTCTTGTCGGACACCGTGACATGTCCTACGATTGCTATGCGTCAGGTGATTGCAGCAGCTGATGTAGGTGACGATGTCTTTGGTGCGGATCCGTCGGTCAATCGGCTTGAAAAAGTGGCAGCCGAACGACTCGGCAAGTCAGCAGCACTCTACGTGCCTTCGTACGTTCAATCTACTGGTTAAACCTGTTCACATTAACGATGTTTTATCTATCCTTAGTGGAACCATGTCGAATCTTATTGCTATCGGCACACATTGCCGTCGAGGAGAAGAGATTATATGCGGAGATAAGGCTCATATCTTTCTATACGAAGGCGCAGGGGCCAGTGGTAAGAAAGCCACAGCAATATAGTCGTTATAAGTAATGATCTGACTGCTTTTCCTACTCTTAAAGCATATATGGGAGTAAGTTTGCATACAGTCGAGAATCAACGAGATGGAACACTTGACATTAAAGATGTTCAAAATGCTATTCGAGCCGACGATCCGCATTATCCACGCACGAGCCTTGTGACAATCGAAAATACACAAAATACTTGTGGAGGACGCGTTCTACCGCAACAATTCGTTCGTACACTAGAGCAATTGTGTCATAAGCGCAATCTTCGCCTCCACGTTGACGGAGCTCGATTGGCAAATGCTAGCGTAGCGTCCGGCATTCCCATGGACGAACTAGTACGTGGTGCCGACTCAGTTTC